GGGGGGAGGGAGGGGGTAGGCCTAACTGTTAGCAGCCCAGAGTCTGACAGCCGAGTGCCTATCGCTCCCCGTTATAATTCTCCTTATATATCTTAACTAGACGATTCCTCTTTTCGCCGGCTAGACTCATATTGGCCAGGTTAGTTATTAGTGGGGAGAAAGCGATGAATAAATACCAAACCGGAACTATAGGTGGCTAAAAATCCAATAAACAAAAAAGAGTAGTGCCATGCTGACAATAAATGTTCTGATAATAGTTAGAGAAAGGCTAAATGATAAATACATGTATTGCTGATAAAATAATACATGTGTCTGCACTGCTCAAAGTCTCATTTTTAATTTTGTAAGCAACACAGATGCCAATTTGGCAATTAAGGGATACTTTATTCGCTCTTAGGGCAGTTGATGGATTTGTCCAGCGGACTGACGTCATCGCTGAGACCGCCGTGTTCACTTTGTCCTCGTACGAAGTTCCGCGACGTGACGGGAGACGATTTAACAGTTGCGGGCCGGCGAGATAAACAAACGTGAAGGAATGAGGCAGTGTAACGCGACAAAACAGCAGTGAATCCCACTTCTCTAACTGAGCGCCTTCAAATCGGCAATGTGCCATTTGAATATTGATGCATGTTTGTTTGGATTTACTTAAAACTGAATGAAAATCATGATCAGCAATAAATCTCTTGTAACCAGTCCAGTTGACAAAATTTTGACAGGCACCGTCGGTCTTGCCCGGTTAACAAACCGCCCCTGGTCACTATCCAAAGCAACCTCAAAGGGAGATGATATTGTGACGAAATTCTTCGTCTTCGTGTTTTCACTACATGGCACGGATGATGCAATGTGCCAACAAGACAACTCCTGACCCCACGTGGCCATGATCAGTCAAAATTCCTCCCAAACTCGTCAAATCAATATTTGGACTGGCTTGCCAGATCAACAGGCGTTAACTTAACAGAACAGCTGCAAGGTGACCTTGACTGGAAGATTCGAAACTGGCCACGCCCCATGCAAACTTGTCTGGAACTGAAGGCTGCACTTCACAAGGAATAGCAGGGAATGCCTCAGACAACCATAAACACACTTATTCAGTCAATGAACAGACGTTTGGTAGCAGTAAATCAAGCTGAAAGAGGTCACACGCAATACTGCGCAAACGTTGATTAGGATTTCGCAATGGTCAGTGTGAATAAAATTATTTCCCTTGAATAAAGAAAGAAAATGGTTAATTCTTTTCATGTCATGTTGGCAGAAAATGAATGTAGATCATATGTACCTAACTTTGCTTGGCTGTTTTGACTAGTAAATGAGTTATTTTGTACTTTGAAGATGGGCGTGGCAGAACTTTTGCAACACGGTATTTACTTATGTATATAT